TATGGTGGTGCGAGTCTCCCGAGGCAGACGAAACTCCGTTTCGTCCACGTCAGGTAGTTGTGTTTGGTTTTCACAGATCGCGAGTCGGTGTAAATCTAGACCGGCTCTCTGTGAACGTCGTTATATGTCGGGTCTAGAGGTGGATTTATGAATCTCTAGACTTCGTCGGTCAGTTCATATGGATGCCTTTTGACATGCTTAGGCGAGGGCCCTGCTGCAAGCAAGTGTCTAGTCGGGTGCCCGCGTTTGTGACACCGTACTAAGAATTGCTCTTAGAGCATCACATTACGCTGCTTAACTGGGAGCATTTGTGCCTCGTCGTGAAAGTGGTACTGCGACGACATCAGAAGACATCGGGTTGCGGTCCGGAGTGCCGTGTTCTGGCATGTCTGTAGCTTCGTCCACTGCATCCTGCTAATCCCCAGCTACCACACGGGCACTGCATAGTTTAGGACCGGCCTGTTAATTGCCTTTTATGTTGCCAAAAAAGTTTATCTGCTTTGCCCCAGGTGCTGCCGGCTAGCGACTTGAGGACCTTCTTGCCGTTCTGCACTTTATTGACAAATGCGGTTGTATGTGCCAAGAATTGTTGGGTTATTCACCGTTGGAATTGATTCGCCATCGTCCAGGCAGTTTAATTTTCCTGGGTTTGCTGGTTTTGCCTCTGAAAATTGCTGACGAATGTCGACCACTCAGATAATTCGCCGACAACCGTTTGAGCCCTTGTGGGAGAGAGGAAGCCTCAATATCTTCTTGTAGTGTTGAGTAGTTGACGTTGTCAAACGCCGTTGGCAAATCCAGCGCTACTGGGATTTTTCTCTCAAAGAGGGGTCTCGGTTAAGGCCAAGAGTTATGTGGATATTTATAGCGTTAGGTGCTGTTACTGTGCTTTAAACTTTACGGAACGCATGCTGATGCGTTGATGGTGTCGGGTGGTACGTATAGTTCGGGAGTAGCAAGGCCTCAAGTGTCTTCGGTACCGGGAAAAGGAGTGTTATCGTGTAATGAGACTCTCCATTTTTGCCGGTTTCCAGATATCTGAAATGATGAGACTGGCCATGAATTTTTTCCAGCATCTGCATGCGTCTGTTCCAACGGCTTTCGTCTTCCCGATGGCTACCTGAACCTCACCGCTGGTAAAATCAGGAGACCCACTTGGTATTGACAGTTTGCGCAGCCTTCTGGTCACTCGACGTTTGGCTTTGTCCACCGGAGGATCCGACGAAGCGTGGTCAACGAAAAATATTTCCACTCTGTCGTCGCGCTTCGTTGGGTTGGTCAGTGTCCTCATGGTCGACTAAAGGTTACTTACACCAGAGGTGAAGTTAGAAGTCCTCCGATGCTCCTCTCACTTCTTACGCTTTTGTACGCCTGCGGAACTTACGTTCACCTACATGAAAGTCGGTTGTTGTGGGAGGGGCAGAGAAGGTGCTATCAGTAACTTCCGCGAAGTGTGGTGTTGTCTACCGGCCATTTGTTGTGTGTGCTCCTGTTGGGGGCTGCCTTGTGGTGGTAGTGGGCGGCGTCGGAAAAGCGGTTGTTACGGTATATTCTGGACCGACACACCGAGCAGACTGTTGGAGAAACTAGGGGCTGTTGGCGGCTGCGTGTACGTGGTTTGATCTGTGCAATGTCTTTCTATAGCTGTGTTGTTTTGGCGGGTGGTGCAGTTAATTTTATGTTGCTCAGTTTGACTCTAGTCTGCCGTGGAGGCGGTTCGGTTTGTGCAGCATGGGGCCACGAATGACGCGGGCCACTGCCGGTGAGTCCGGACACCTGAGCATATTCTGAGATGGTTCCCCCCGTTGCAAGTATTGCGCCTCCAGGTATTGCACCTGACTGAGGTGGACTTTGGTTGTAATCGTTTCTAGAATATGCAGCAGGTATATGTTTCTGGTCCAAGGTTTGACTCGATGCCAACCCTGAGCAGAAGAATGCGGAGGAGATGTCGCCCCATGTAATAACAACGTTTGAGAGATTTCGCCGACCTAAACTGGGCTAGATCGCCGAAACAACAGCCCCTGGGCTAGAACAACCTGAGTCATTCTGGTACGTAGAACCGGCTGTCGTGTGAATGGTCCTGACACGTCATTTATTACAGGTGGTGAAGGCGTGTGCTAAGAAGGAAAAGTAAAAAATGGCTACAAGGTGCTTGACCGTCGGTGTATTGGCGCCATAGACGCCGGGTAAAAAGTCTAGACTTTGACGTCCACAGCATTTTTACCACACCTTAATAAAGAATATTTTTGGAAAAAATTAAAGTTTTATTAATTTTTTAAATAAATTCAAAAAAAGGTTGTTTTTTCAGAAATTTCAAAGTTTAGGTGTTAAATGTGTAAGTATGTACAATAACGGTAATTTGATTATAACAATAACATTTTAAGTTTTTTGAATGATCAATTAGCTAAAAAAAAATTAAATACTTTAAATTTCTATTTTAACATCTGATATCATCTTTGATTTTAATTTACGTCACAGTTTTAACACAGTTGTAATCAGCACAAAAAGTTGGATCGAGCCTCATTTTTATGTATCAATACTCATTTTTATATATTTATATATCAGTAGCTAAACGGTCAATATTCTTTACTTAGGGCCTGTGCGAATCAGTAGAAAAGTTCTATGGTGAAAAAACTTTTTTACTATGGTGAAAAAATTCTACATTTCTGCTGTACCAATTCGTAACTTTTTACTGGTGGAAATTTTTGACAGTTGCTTTGGTGCAAAAGAAGTTGAGGAATTAAAATGCAGCAATTATATAAAAAAAAAAATATCTGCCTTTACTGACTTTAATTCTTCTAGAACTGAAAGCCTTACACATATTAGACGTCTTAGCAATAACATTAGAACAAAAAGTGTCAAATTTTCCACTAGCCCTGCCGGCTCGGAAATTTTCATTCACCTCATAGCTGTCAAAAATTTATAATCAGAAGTAGTTCTCCATCAATTAAAACAGGCCCTAAGGCTAAAGGCGAAATTAGTCAACGACGTAGCGTAAACGTAAGTAGCAAAATGTCAAATTTATGGTTGATAGAGAGCGAGAGAAGCACTGGCAACGTCACCGTCATGCGATGGTGAGTTTTCGTTAACACGCAAATCCCATAAGGTTGATCCTATCAGCGTCAACGTACGTTTACGCAACGTCGTTGACTAGTTTCGCATTAAAAGTAAAGCACATCCGAGTGCAACTCTGTGCTTTTAATGAGAGAATTAGCCAATCTCAGCTGTAGCCAAATGTCATGAACCCATTAGAACAGACCTGACCGGTTGAGAAACACCCATTTGTAATAGCAATTGAGAAAAAAGTGTGTGACGTTCGTAATTTTGAAGTTTGATATTTCTGTTTTGCTTCTTTCTTTATGTGTATTTTGTCGGTGGTTTATTTCAGTGATTTTTAAGCGATTTTCAATAAATTTTTTGTGCAAATGTAATTAAAATGAAGTGCCCGGTGATTGGTTGCAAAAACATTTACAAAAATAATAAATTGGTTAGCACAAATATGTGCTACAAAATTGCTTGCATTTTTTTCTTTATGCTTCGTCTTCATATTCTTTGTTTACTTTTCAAAGAAAATAACATGGCGCCGAAATTATAAATGTCATCATGCTAGCGCCGAGACAATGGAATTTTTAATTTTGACAGGGCGTTACGGGTTGAAGTTGCATGCAGAGGACGAAAAGAAAGAGGGAGGACAAAAATGTGAAAGAGGGAACGAGAGGAAATGAGAAAACGTCAAAAATTACGCTGCGTTGATTTGGGGATAACGCGCTGACACTCGTTGACAACCCTGCAAAAATCGCGACTACTCCATGCATGCATGTAAAGAGTACTCCCGAAGGGCCAAGGAGTACTCCAAAATTAACCACACTTCATATAAAAAATATGGTCCAATTAACATTCCGATGTCCTAGGGCATGACCATATACTCCATCCCTGCATTACATCAGAGTAGCACAAAACTACTCCCAACATACTCAAATGGCATTGTCGTTATATTTTTTCGTTTGTACACGCTTTTGTTCTTCACTTCACAAATGCTTTTTTGAAATTAATAAAAACCAAGACAAAAATTAAAAATTACATGTTGCCTCTGACGGCATTCGAACCCGAACATGCTGGGAGCTAACAACTAATAGCTAGCATCTCTACACGTTCAGCTACAGCCAGACATGCAAATGTACTTTCAAATGCTTAACTTCAATCACATTTCGTAAAAACACGAGCAGTGATCGGGTAACAATAAGCTGGTGCAGAGACACGAGTTGGTCCGCTACAGCATGACAGAGAAGCACTTTTGTAAGTACTCCAATATACCACAAATAGACTAGATGGTCCAACGATTTTTGCAGGGATAGACTACATGGTTCCACGATTTTTGCAAGGTATGTCAGATCAACATTAAATCAGTCGAATTACAATCGCTGACATTCGCTAACATTAGTTTTGAAATGATTTAAGTTTGCACACCATTCCTTTGGCAGTCTCCCACAAAAAACGTATTGCAAACGAAAAATATTTCCATAAAAAGTTGGTTATGGTCAAAGTTAACTCCTCATGTTTATTTTATTGTGTTCAATGATATAATATGTATACACTGTGTTCATTTAAATCTCTTTGCTCCTTTTTCGGGAAAATATTGGTAGATTTTTAGACTTTGTTGGTAGAAATGGTAGAATATAAAAAACAGCTACAAAGTTGGTAGATCTACCAATAAAGTGGTGAAGTCCGTGCACTGGTTATCATACACTTTTCTAGTAAAAATTTGCAGGTTCCAGTTAAAATTAGTACTGACTATTGGTTACTATACAAACCTAATATATAACGCTACGCCTAGCGCTCCAATTTAGGAACGGCAGTTAAACGTTTGAAAGCCACTGTACGAATCATGACTGCAATTGCGCAGCAACACTAGCTTTGTCTCCTTTGCACTACAACATTCAGCGATTCGCCAACGCTAATAAAGTAATGTCAGCAGCAGCGAAGTTTCGGTTGAAGAATTTTTCCTTGCTGTCAGATTTTCCAATTGACAAGCGCGGTGCCGACCGATTTCTGCCCAAGTTTTTGTGTATTCTCTCTGCTAGAAAATTGTGTTTTTATAAGAATTTCCTTAATAAATCTGCGAAAAAGTTAAACCAATGCCAGATTAACATGGCATACGTGTAAAAATGTAAGTTTATATCTGCAATGCATTAAATATTTGGCTATCACGACCGGAAAAAGGAGCATCAGCAGCGCAGGCGGCAGACGGTTAACCAACCGTCTTTGGTGACAGATCGAAAATCGATTTTTTCATGCAAAGTTCATAGAAATTTTTCGGTACTCTCCTGCTCGTCGTTTATAAAAGTGGTTTGTAGCATAATTAAATATTAGGTGAAATTTCTTGTTAAAATAATTTTTCAAGTTAAGTTGCATTATTTGCCATTATTTTTCTGCGTACTATTGTTAACGCCCTTTCCATTACAGCACAACGTGAAGAATTGTATCGGCACCCGGCTTATAATTTAGGAAATAGCGTTAAGTAAATAGTTCACAAAAACAATTAGCGAATAAAGCAAACAATCAGGCCAACAAGAATACGCGTTCCCCAACACGTCCAAAAGCGATATCATTGTTTCACAGCAGCTAGTTACGTACGCTAGCAGCATTTGCGGCTAAATCAATAACACATCATCTCAACACCCGAGCCACGCATAACAACAAATCAAGTCATAGGGCAGTCAGTCAGTCGTTGCAATTGTAAATTTTTTTACAAAAGCAGATAATTTGTATTACAAAGGTAAGCACATACATACACTGCTTAATAAGGTCATATGGGGAGAATGCAGCAAAAGGATATGCCGCATTGTCCTCAATGTAACAAAAAAGAAAGAAGTTTGTCGGTTTATCCACACAATACATACAGCGGCTGCGGCGAGTACGAAATCGAAATAGTCGTGCAGGCATACGACGAGCCGGCGCCGAGCTAAGGCGGTGGGTTTTCCCCCCAACTTAAATTTTTTGGCTAACGTAAAACAGCACAATCAATGAAAGTAACAAAAGGCCGTGATGGCTCTAGTGAAGCTGCTGCGCAGACAATGGTTAAACAAAAGCAAAGTCCTCTGTATCAAAAGGGCTAACCAACGATTTGTCTAATATGTACACACAAACATACATATGTATGTACATACATGCATTGATGGCTACTATTAGATAAGCAGATAAGAGTGGTGATAAAAGCGATTATAGACATTACATATAATCGTCAATGGATAATGAAAAATTGTTATAAAGTGCTGTGGCAGAAATGGCCCACTGTTGAAAGTATAACAGGAAAGATCATTTAAAACCCACTTTGAAAAGATTTTATAATATAATTTTTGCAGTCATAAATCTTTTGGTATAACTTAAAATTTCGAATATCCATCAGTTGTCTTAAAGTTTCACCGGAGTTAATAGAAGGAATTGGTAGAAGCAAAATGACACTGAAGATGGCACTATGCCGAAGCCGGTTTGTCTCCAAACTAAATTTGACAAGGGATGAAGGAAACTCGTTTCAAAATATATCAATACATTATCGTTTATTCTCGAAATTATTTAGTTTGTATTTAAATTTTTGTTTATTAAATCCGTTCCAAACTTTTGACTGAACTTCTTACTCTCTTCCACAGCAACTCCCGACGTTTAAATTGTATCACAAATCAATCAACCATCACTAATTTGCAACGAAAAATGAACGTGTGAATCAACTTCAAACCTATTAAAATTCAAACAACCGAAAGCAAAACCAAACCAAAAACGCAATGAGTACCCGGCATTACACCATTGAGGTGGGTGATACGAATTTTACAATCCTCAATCGGTACACAAATTTGAAACCGATCGGTTCGGGTGCACAAGGCATTGTATGTGCTGCCTACGATACTGTGACCGAGCAAAATGTTGCCATTAAAAAATTATCAAGACCATTCCAAAATGTTACACATGCTAAACGGGCTTATAGAGAGTTTAAGTTAATGAAATTAGTAAACCATAAGAATATTATTGGTTTACTCAATGCATTTACACCTCAACGTAGCTTGGAGGAGTTTCAAGATGTTTATCTTGTTATGGAGCTCATGGATGCAAACCTATGTCAAGTCATACAAATGGATTTGGATCATGATCGTATGTCGTATTTGCTATATCAGATGTTGTGCGGCATAAAGCACTTACACCTAGCCGGCATAATACATAGAGATTTAAAGCCATCAAATATTGTGGTTAAAGCCGATTGCACACTTAAGATATTAGATTTTGGTTTGGCACGCACAGCTGGTACGACATTCATGATGACACCATATGTGGTCACACGTTATTATCGTGCACCTGAAGTTATTTTGGGCATGGGCTATACAGAGAATGTGGATATTTGGTCTGTGGGCTGCATAATGGGTGAAATGATAAGGGGTGGTGTTCTATTCCCTGGCACTGATCATATTGATCAATGGAATAAGATTATCGAGCAATTGGGTACTCCGTCTACATCATTTATGCAGCGTTTGCAGCCAACTGTACGTAATTATGTTGAAAATCGGCCACGTTATTCCGGTTATTCATTCGATCGACTTTTCCCAGACGTACTCTTTCCAAATGATAATAATGAGCAAAGTCGACGAAAGGCATCCGAAGCACGTGATTTACTTAGCCGTATGTTGGTGATTGATCCCGAGCAACGTATTTCGGTGGAGCAAGCACTATTACATAGTTATATAAATGTTTGGTATGATGCCGAAGAGGTAAATGCACCAGCACCTGAACCATATGACCATAGCGTCGATGAAAGGGAACATACCGTCGAACAATGGAAGCGACTTATATACGAAGAAGTTATGGATTATGAGGCACACAATACCAATGCGCCCGTAAATACTACGCGGTAGACCCTGAATTAATTAGACATGGCATACTAATGCTTCTGAGCAACTCTTAATGTATATAAAATATAAGAACAATAAAAGCATTAATACTTTCAAATGATAAAGTAAAATAAAGTAAACAAAAAATTATTAGAGATCAGCTTGTTTCGCCTCTCAAACAAAAAAGGGATCAAAATGTATGTTCTTATTTGCAGCAGTGCTATTTTTTTAGGAATATTTACAATGCAAGCAATATAGTATGCAGTAATGGAGTATGCTATGGAAGAATACAGTACAACAAATATTTGATATATGAGAAAAACGCAGAAAGTGTAACACATTCAGTAAAAAATAAAAATAAAATATCGCTATCTTAAACTCAGCATTTTTCACAGAGTCTTGAAAGCGCAACCATAGAAGGGTATAATGGCATTCTACAGCTTTGTTAATGTTTTTTTTTTATAGGAAATGAATTGAATTTTAACATTTATGATTAAAATATAATTTTAAACTAAAAATTAAACCGTAAGTGAGTTTTAAATTACCTATTTATAAAATTTAAAAGCAATTATTAGTATTTCGGCAAAAGGCTGCACTGGAAGAAGTAAATTCATAGAAAAGCTTATGCAAAAACGAAAATTATCCAGTTCCCGTGTATTAAATTAAATTGCATATGGGCTAATAAGGTTCACACTAGCCTAAAACAAGTTTCACTATTTATCTCTTTGCTGAGTAGTTACAAATGCAAACTCAAAATCAATGTGTTTGTTGTTTAGATTATCAAATTAGTTGTAGTAGCATAAAATTAGGTCGCAATCCTCGTGGTTGAGTTTATGCATACATACATGTGTGCATTTGTTAAGATGTAAGAGTGGATTGTAAATATTTTCTAACTTGCTATTTTTAGATCAAAGCGCAGACGTTGGGGGATGTGTTAAACTAACATTTGTTAGGAAATTGCCCAGAGAAGAGCAGTCTGACAACTTTCTAATGTACATATTTATGCATGGGTGTAAAATGCAGTGAAGTGAAAGAGAATTTTTGTGAAGAGTTGTTGGAGGGTGGATTTTGGCCCTTATTATGAGCTGCACTCGATTTTCGATCTTCGCTGGCTATCGAAGATCGAAGATCGAAAGTGAAATTCGTATTATGAGCTATGCAAGCGTGTCGAAATTTTCGTTGAGTATCGAATTTTCTGTCGAATAGAATTTTGCTTTCGATGGTGTAGCGAAGTGTTAGAAAATTGTGAAAAATTTATGATTTTGTGTATGTTTTCTTACATTTTGGCGGCTAGACACTAATTTTAAACAATTTTTATTAATTTCATGCAGTTCTAACATCGTGAATACTAAACACAAGCACGAAAGGCTGGTTTTACTTGTGAAAGAAAATCCCAATACTCTGTTGGCACGATCTCTGAGAACAAAATCGTAGCGCTGTTGATAGTTTTAAAATATTTTAAATAGATTTGGCTCACAAACGCCTCTTTAGATGGTCGGAACTTTTTAATGAATCTGTAGACAAATTTCTTAAATATATTTTATATCAAAATATATTCGAAAGACTAATAAACTTAAACTCTCTTAAACTTTTGCTACTCCTGGCCAGTTTACTAAGCTCTCATCCTCTGACGAATCGTTGATCCAGAACTCGTTGTACTCATTTTACCACGTTTTTATAAACTTGCTTTCTTTTTTACTTCATTTTAATTAGAACAAATTTACATAAATATGTATAAGCACACTATTTAGTTTGCTCGATTTGTAAACAAAGCTTCTCAGCGGTGAAAAATATACTATTGTGAACAACCTAAACGAGCGAAATTCACAATAGCGCTATTCTTCATCGAATGAGCGCCATAATACCAAATGAAAATTCGTTCGCTCAGCACTTTCGATCACAGTCGAAAATCGAATGCAACTCATAATAGGGGCCTTTGTAGTTAGAAGCACATGTGCACATACAAACATATGTGTGTTTATTAATTAAAATTTTTTGTAACATTTTAAGCCACGCAAATTGATTAGACCGCCAAAAATGTAAATCAGTGTTTTTGGTATTCGTAGCGAAACTTTGAAATCAAGACAAAAATGTATGTATTATCTTTAAATACAATAAATTAGTATTGTAAGCTTGTTGTGCCAGCATTGACCGAATAATTGGCTTATGACACCACCTCTTGAATGTCCATCGAAATGACGATGCTCGCTAGTGCTTGGTCAATGACTGCAACTATGGCTGAATATTATTTTCGTAGGGCCAAGTAGCCGCTACAATAACAAAATAATTTTCGTCCGACTGGTATAATTTGTTGCAACAAGATATCATACTAACATTGCGTTGAAACAGTCGGGAATCTACGCAAAGGGAACGACTGCCAAAGTATTTCAGAGAATTTGTATGCTGTTACTGGATGCAGATTACCGACAGGCCCATAACTTATGGATTCAAAAGCAATTACATATGTTCGAATGTATTACTTTAGAAGAGGGAGCGTAATCATTATAAGTAAATTAATTTAAATCAGCATTCAATCATTTTGTATTTTTTTTCGATTAAAAATAATTACTGAGTTTTATATTTTAGCTCAACCGAAATAATTTTTTCGTTGAGAGATATTGGGTTTTATTTTTCCAATTAAAAATAATTAAAGTTAAAATGCCATATAGACGCACACTGAAATCTTGACCTGAAAATATTGAGGCTCTCCTTTTATTAGGGTGTCGCTACCTTTGAAAAAGACACGTTGGAAATGACGCCAGTATAGCTTTTGATTTTTTTTTACCCGATCATTGTTCTTAAGCGAAAAAATCCTAAAATAATCATTACTTTTGATCGAAAAAATAAAAATTAAGTAATAATAATTTCATTCGAGCGAAAATGTAAATATTAAAATAACATAGATTACACTAGGACGTACGAATACAAAGATGTGAAATTTATTAAAATTGTTTTGTTGATTTTTTGGTAAAAATTAGGAATATGCGATTAATCGCTTAAATAATTTTTTAATTTATCACAATCCCGATTAATCAGATTCTAATTAATCAGTCCTGAGTAATTACTGTTTACTCGTAAAAAACTAATTGCACTCTAAAGCGAACTTGTTTGTTTCAAAACAAATAAAGATTTTTTTTATAATATACAATATTTTTATTATTAATATGTATTTTACTTATGTATGTATGTATAATGCCAAGCGAACATGTTACAGGGTTGCTCCTGGAAATGAAAAACTACATATTTGTATATATCGGGGAAAATGCTACTCCCTGGGAGTTAATTTATTAAAGGTTTTCTTTCTCGGGAGAAACAAATTTTTGGAAAACAAACTCCCCTGGAGTATTCAGAATAGCTTCGCCTGTAAAATATAAAATTTGCTGGTTAGGTCCTTTGTGAATTAAAGGTAACGCTATGTACATATGCATATGTATATACATTTTTTCTATTTTAAAAATGGAAAATATAGGAGCAACTCGTCACGTAAAAATTCATATTTCGGATTATAACAGTGGTGAACGTACTGCTCCTCTCGTAAATCGGTATACGTTTAGGGTTTTTACGTTACGGGTTGCTCGTTTACGACTTTTAAGATTCGAGCCCAGGCTATGACTAATCAGTTTTCTGATTAATAAAATTAAATTAGTTTCCGATTAATAAAAAATGTATCAAAATAGAGAAATTAATCACTTTGAAGAATAAAAAAATGATTATTCTTTGATTAATTAATGAATCAGATTTCGCTTATTCAGCTTAATCGCAAATCCCTAGTAAAAATTACAAAAATTATGATTATTTTCCGTCCCTAGCTTAGAAAGGTTTCTTAAAAATATAGTCGCATAAATAGAAATGTATATAAACGTTTCATGTTTAACCGGCTAGATGCAGTTTAAGACAGTTTAAATTTTAAAGCATAGTTTGATATGTAGGTACATCTTTTTGAAAACCACTTACATCTCTCAACTGCTGCACTTCTCTATACATAGTTTCTTTTATGCTTGTAACTGCTTCGGCGATTTTTCTCTCTCTTTTTAAATAAAAACTTTGAAAACGCATCCATTGCATTTATTTTAAACACTAATTGCATTGTACGAAAAACTCTTCACTTCTTAATCGCATCAGAATTGTCTTGAAACCAATTGGCGCACATTGCTTTCACCGCCATTTTTCACTAGTTTATTTTTCTACTACACACGCCCTCCACACTTCACTATTAACACTGGCTCTTCCTATTTACAAATTTATACACCATTTGCATTCACTTTAATTGCAATTTGCATAAAATAGTTAAAGAAAACTTCGATTTTTTACAACTCCCTAAAATTTTCACTTGCCGATTACAAACAACGCAGGGTGGGTAACTGTTCCACTAAAAGCGGATGTGCCAACTGATCATGATTTAGGGTTGCCATGTTGGCTAGGAAAACCATTTATTCAGGGAAACGGAAATATTTCCGCAAATATATAAATGTTTGAATTAACGTACATGAACACCTTGACAGCGTGCGTTCCCACGACAGTCGGGTCTACGTAACCGGAACGACCCAAATTCATATCTGGTAAGGACTGTCACTCCAAAATCATTTCCCGAAAACTCTTTGGGGAATTTTGTATACTACTACAATAACAACAACGTAAATTAGTACGTTGCCGATCTATTTCGAGGTATTGCGTCCAAAGGGGTGACCCGATCCAAAACAAATTTGCACACACTAGTAGTCAAGGGTCTACACATTATTTTAGCACCCACTTTTGTAATTTTTGGTCACTAATTTATTTACAAATTGGGTTAGAAATATGCCCTTTTTTGTAAAATTCGGAAATTAGCGTACATTTATCACTCCTATTCTCCTTAAAGCAGCCACTTCACCAATATTTTTTTATATTCTCCTTGACTTTACACTTTACTCGATGAGTTATAACTTTCTTTATGACTTTAATATTAACCAATTAAGCACAATTTATTAAATAAAAACACCTTCTAAATCATGCGACTGACTTTGGTTGCATATGCAAATTAAATGGCGGAGTTCAGCTGTCAAACTTCAAAATATGCAAAAGAATGAGGACAAAAGGAAATAGGATATAACCCAGCAAGCATTAAAAATATACAAAGGTGTTCTCTGCAAAAGGTG